TATAACTTTTGTTTGCTTTATATGTTTGTTACTTTCTCCCTCCCCACCCCCCAAAAAAAACCCTTGTTCTGTCTCCACGTAAAGTCCCAGCATGAGAGAGGTTAATAATCTTCATAAATATTTCCTTGTTTTATTAGATTTAGATGAGTCAATTGATTTCTACAGAATTTAACTTTACTTATATTCCATCAGATTTTTTTGTTTTGCAAAGGCAGACAACATCAGCAGAAGGCCCTGGGCAAGAAGCCAAAAGGCCTATCTCAGGCTTACCAGGTGACCCTGTCATGTCACTTGACCCACAGTTTCCTGAAGTGAACCTAACAGAGACTGTGATACACATTATTTCCACTTCCCAAATCAGAGTGAAAGGAAAGAGAAGGAAACTTGGAGACTTCTAAACATCCGAGAGCTATTTTTGGAAATCAATGACTTTTCCATTTACTTTTCTTGGAGAAAAAAAAAAAGAGAAGGGAAGCAAAAGAAAGATATTAGATTGAAAAGTGGTAGTTGACATCTAAATGGATACAAAAGGAAGATTCTTTCCAGGGGCTGACCCCCGATGGCTTTTAAAGCCAGAAACTCCCGCGTGTTCATACAAACACTATCTATAATCTTAAAGAATGAAAAATGGAAAAATCATTAAGTTGTTTATCGGAAAGCTCAACTTAGACAGTTCACATAACCCAGAAATAGACTCTGTGAGGTAAATATAGTCAAGCTCCTATTAATTAATACTGAATAGTGGTTCCAAGAAGGTAGCAATGTTATCTGGCTCTGTTATAGAAGGCTCCAACTTAGCAAATACCAGAACCAAGATTGTTTTCTCCTTAAGGCAAAAGGTTGGAGTCAAATACTCCCATGTCTTCAGCATATAATAAATTTTGTGTGTCCTTTTCCTTTTCAAAGAAAAAGAAGAAGAAGAAGAAAAAGAAAAAGCCTGCTCAAGGGACTTTTAATAAATCACAAAATTCTTACATGTGGCACCAGGTCAAACCCCATCTAGTGAACAAATGGCCCTCAACTCTCATACCATGACATAATTGTAGCAGTCAACCATTATTTACACTTAGCTCTGATCACAAATATGATTTCACAGTGATTTATTTTTAATTTGGATAGGGGAACATGCCAAAGTGTGCATGTGGAGGTCAGAGAACAACTTTGGGGAGTCAGTTCTTTCTGAGTCGTAGGGATGTAGCTGAGGTCATCAGGCTTGGCATTAGGCACCTTTAACCACTAAGCTGTCTTGTGGCCCTCAAATGTGATTTTGCCCACCGTTCTTCATTTCCAGTAATGTAAAACTACCACTAGGCTACAAGAAACAGAATGGCCAGTTTCAACAACTGAATCCTTGAACAGTGTAATTCAAGAGAATTATGCAGGAAGTACACACACACACAAGAGTTAAAGGCACTAAATTATTTTTTAAAAATCAAAAAATAACCCTTATACTATATTTTCTAAGTATAAGATTTATAATTATTTTCTATAAGAAATAACTTTCTGAGCTGGATGGTGGTGGCCCACACTTTTAATCCCAGCTCTAGGGAGGCAGAGGTAGGTAAATCTCTATGAGTTCAAGGCCAGTCTGGTCTAGGAGAGCTAGTCCAAGGACAGCTAGGGCTGTTACACAGAGAAACCCTGTCTCGAAAAACTAACAAAAAGGAAAAAAAAAACGAAAAAAGAAAGAAAGAATTTTCTAGTAGCCAGGTGGTGGTGGTGTATCCCCTTGATCCCAGCATTGGGGAGGTAGAGGTGAGGCAGACAGATCTCTGTGAGTTGGACATCAGCCTGGTCTACAGTACAGGTTGAGTTCCAGGACAGCTAGGGATGTTACACTGAAAAACTTTGTCTCAAAAAATAAATAAATAAAAATAAAAGGAAGAAAGAACTTTCTATCAGGTGGTTAGCATAATGTATATGTAGTATATGCAGAATATATGTAAATCACAATGGCCTATTTGGTGATCTTCAAGCCATAGACACAGCAAAATAATTTCACAACATTAAGCTGACTATGAAAATCATATAAACAGTACCAATCTATGAAAAAAATGAATTCAAATACAAGGGTGGTTCACAACAGAACTAAAAAAATTCTGTTTATAAAATAGAGACACTTTTTTTCATGGACATGTGTAGCCACATCTGTAAAGATGTTTCCCTAAATTGCATGCTCTCTATTACTTTAAAAAAATTAGAGGTACAATAATTCACCAATATGCTGAACTGAAAATATCTAATGTTATTAAACTTAACATTGAATGGAATTACTTTAACATTCTAGAAGAGATTTTACTTACATTCTCTGGCCCCCGGTTATTCTGCTTACAACAGTATACTTGATGCTATTAAGAATTTTGTTACATATGAAATAATGTTGAAAGTCAACAACAGTTTTCACCTACCACATTTATTTATTCCTCTATAATTTTATTTTCTTAAAAAAAATTTTTCCTTTGCTTCTCCTATAATTTCTGTTTGGAAGCTATATGGTGAAAGTTTCTTAAACACCATTTTCTAGACCTCTGAATGAAACAAGATCCATAACCTGTCAGATGTGTACATGGAGAAAACATGGTGTTCTGATATGCAGTCTTGTTCATATAATAAAAGTTAATTACAACCTTAAAGAATTCCTAGTCACCTATAAAAATTGGCAACCTTGTGTTTTCAAAGAGGAAGAATGACTAGCACACCCTTCAGCAGGCTCCACTGAAATGTTTGTGGCTTGCTGAACATTCCATACATATTTCATGCAAGGTATTATGGGAGCTGAAGTTCAAGCTGTCCCCAGCTGAATTTTCACTCACTATAAAAACAATGTCTCAGAAAAGTACACACATGTTTTTACTTTACAAAAAATGCAAAATATCCACTTTTGTTCAGTCAATCAACACTTAGCACTTAGAAAGGGGACTTTTAAAAACCTGTAACCTAAGTAATATCTGAAAGGGGCAAAAAATGTTATTCAGGAGCAAAGCAGATTTGTGGAAAGAAAAATCTACAGAGACAAAGAACCTAGAAGACGATTCCTGTAGGACTTATGTTGCTGGCTATACCATTAAAATAAAATGATCACACTTATGTTTTTGTTATAAATCTCTTTTGCAAAATAGCCACAATTGTTATATTATCCTCATAAAGTAGGGCTTAGATTTTGCTAAGCAAAGCACCCCTTTTCAAGGCCAAACCTTGCTATGCAGCCCAGACTTGCCTGGAACTCTTGATTCTCCTGCCTCAGCCTCCCAAGAGATTAAAGACATGTGCTACCATGCCCTGCTTTAAATACTGATTGAATTGGCTCATGTTCTAGTGATTTAGGACTTTAATAAAAATACGACACAAAAGAACATCACATTTCAAGCAGTTCCACCAATTTCAGAATCATCCAAGGTTTGATCAAATAGATGTGGCTCTCACATTTGGTTAAAATTATATGTCATCTGATTTTCAAAATAAGCATTTTTGAACCCACAAAACTAAGATTGGATTTATGTAAATTTCTGTATCCAGAGGTCTGCAAAGTTTAGAGGGAATGTTCGGGAACCACAATTGTTTAGATTTGTTTTGCTCCATCTAAACCCATAGAAATCTTCAAAAAAAGCTAGCAGTTTCCCTCCTCAAAAGTTTATTTTCAAAGACAGTGCCATGCAGGCTGCCTTTCCTGTGTAGGTGGGAGGAAGCAGCCTTTTCAAGTCTTGAAATCACTAGGAAGCCTACAGTATTTCCTTTTTGGCATCCAGGCCAGGGTGGAGAGAACTTGCTCCAGAGAGGACAAGATATCAGATAACCAGTGGAAATACTTGGTTTCAACAGAATTCCCATTTACACACACACACACACACACACACACACACACACACATACACACGCACGCACGCACGCATGCACACGCACGCGCGCGCACACACGACATCTCTCCAAAAGTAGTTGATCCAATGGAACGAGGAGATACTTTATTACATGACATTAAGTAAAATCTGGCAGTGCTTTTAGAAGAATCTGTTTTTTACTTGATCAGATTTATTTACATGAACGGGACAACTTTGTGCCCTGTGCATATCTTGCACAAAAAGGAAACTTAAATTCAACTCTTGTTTTTCACTTATTCCAAAAGCATATGGGACTAATCATATTCCATTCTGGCCACAATACACAAGGCTATTTCAAACAGAATTTTAACTCACTTGATTTTAAAGGCAGTACAGCACCAAAAAGTTTAGGAACAGCTTCTCCTGACTCCAGAAGGGTTGGGAATACTTTTTTTTTAATGCCCGTCTGGCACCAGGCTTTGGATGAAAACCAGACTGAGCCCTCCAGGCAGGGAACTCATTCCCTCATTCTCAAAACTGGCGCACACGTTTGTGTGTTCCAAGGTGACAGCGCATCTCGCATCTGCCAAGAGCTGGGTATCCCTGTTCCGCCAAAGCTGGGGTGGTGGGCCGCCCAAGGCCCAGGGTATGGATGGGCGAGGCCACACCGCAGAAAAAGGAAAAGAGGGCCATCCGTCAGACTCCAGAGAGGAAATTCCAGGGGCCCAGCTCCCAGGCCCTGGACAGCGGGTAATGTGAGGCAATCGATTCAGTGTCCACCCCTCGACAAGGGGCCAGAAGGCGATATGAACTTCGCGTTCTGGAGACTCCAGAGCGGCCACCTCCATCCTGGGCCAGAGTACTGAGAGAAGGGATGTGCAGCTGGAGAAGAAGCTCAAATCCCATCTCAACACCAGGGGCCTCCCGTACTCCATCCTGACTCTGGGCCCAAAGGTTGGAATTGTTACAACCATAGACAGGACTAAGGGGGTACAGACAAGGTCCAGTCTTGGGAATGGAGGCACTCCGATGATCCCCATCTCAGCACCTATCCTGATCTGGGGGCCCAGGGACAGAGGCATCCAGAGCGTTCCTGTCTATTCCACGCTGGGCTGTACATATGGCCAGAACATCCTCTAAAGTGTCACCCTCGCCCACTTCCACAGCCCCCGTTGGCCCACATACTGGTCGCGGGGATCAATCCATGACGTCTGGCGCGTGTTATGGTCGATGTAGAAGACGCGGCCATCGTAGTCGCGCGCCTCCTCCCAGCCGGCGGGCAGCGGCAGCTCGGCGCTCTCACGGGCCCGCGGCTGCGGCGGTACGGAGGGCACCGAGGGTGCGGGGACCGCGACGGGGGGCGCTGGCGGTGGCGGCTCCCATTGGGGCTGAGCAGGAGGCGGTGGCTCTCGCTGGGCCTCCCGCGACTGTCCCCGCTGTCGCCGCCGGCCGCCGCTCAACCAAGGCATGACGGCTCGGGCCCCGCCGCCGCCTGGCCGCCCCGCGCGCGCGCCGCCTCCTCCGCCAGCACTAAGGCCGAGCGACCGGGGTGCGGGGGCGGCTGCGGGGAGCCGCCCGCCGCACCCGGCGCATCCTCCACTGGGCGCCCGCGCACTGGCACCCGACAGGCTTCGTGAGCCGCTAGCTGTGCTGTCCTCTCCTCTGCGATGGCCCAGGTCGCTGCCACGCGCGAAGTCACAGTCCCAAAACTGGGGCCGCGGCCACCGATAGCAGCGGTTCCTCCACTCCACAGGCCGGTCCGGCCATCTTCACTCCACAGAGCCGGGTTGGGAGGGCGGGGTGTTCCCACGCCACGCCCCGTCCAGGCTAGCCCCGCCCCTACTTGATGCTCTTCTTTCACTCTCCCTCCCAGACTCCTCCTCTGCCCCCCGGCCTAGGCTTCCCCCTCCCCCGCCCCTTGCTCCGCCTCTCCCTTCTCTCCCTCTCCCTCGCAGCTCCTCCTCCATTTCCCTCTAGAGCTCCACCTCCCCTCTCAGCAACTCTGCCCGCCCTGTGTCCCCTCCAGCGGCTCCTCCTCTGCCTGCCTTCTTCGGTTCCACGCGCTCCTCCTTCTTCTCCTCCCTCTTCACACCACGTCCCCCAGCCTCGGGAATCCGCACCCGGGCCTGGACAGGCGCCACCACGTCAATCCGCCCCCGGGCCACCTCTGAGAGACAGGAGGGCCTGGAGGACCATGCTGCACCCGATCGCAGCCTGCACAGGACTGACTCCTGGAGAGGGCAGTCACCGCACTTCACCCGCCCTCAGACCCTAGACGCCTGGGGTCCTCCCCTCTGCGCACCTGGGGGTGGAGGCTGAGCCTTTGGTCTGTTGACTACTCAAACTCTAGACACAGACACAAAGTACGCAAAGCCGCAGGAGCCAGCGGAGGAACACCCACAGCCTCCTAGGTTGAAGCAGAGGACACAACTGTAAGAGGACATCTAGGGTGGTGGCAAGCTTGTGGCTCAGCAAGGAGATATTCAGGAGATCTACCTAGGGTCCATATACTGGATTCCAGAACCCTCTTTTTGCCCTTTACCCAACTCTGTGATCCCACAGTTTGAGGGGAAACCCTAGAAAGCTAGTGCTGGCTAGGAAGTCAGGTCACTTCGAAACCTAACTGGTATTTCTGTTCTACTTATATTTCACAGCGGAGAAATAGAGACCCTCAAAGTGAAATCTGGGACTTTCTCGAAATTCCCCAACTATAGATCCAGGGCCATAATGCACTAGTCCCATAGAGCATAGAACATGTTACGTTTTTTAGGCTCAGTACTGTAAAAGCGTTTATACTAAGTCTTAACCATCTGTTGAAATCCTGCTCTTGAGGAAAACGTGCTCCCCGTGTCCACCAATTCACAAAAATTCACAGTAGTTTTCATTCCTTGGGTGCTGTTGTTTTTTTATTTCCTTCTGATTTTCTTGTAAAATGGTACTATTTTATAAAAGGAAGAATTGTGTCTAAAAAGATTGTGAAGATACAAAGACTGACAAGAAAGGTGTACAAGAAAGATCTGTCTTTCCCGTCTGCCCCCTAAAAAAACCCACAAAATTTCTTTGCTCCCCAAGTATTTATGCATCTCTACCAGAAAAAAAGCTGTTGGAAATTTCACTTAGTTGTATCATTTTAGTGGCCCCTGAATGCTTATTGGGTGTCCAAGGGGAGAAGGACCATAAAAGCAAATGCAGGCTTCCCACCACACCCACTAGCCCCAATTCGTGGATTTGACCAAGCAAGCAGAGAAAAGATTGTTTATTTCCCTTTGTCACTTTTGTGCACTGTGTAGTCAGTCTCACTGTGCTTACGTTTGTACTGAGAGTATACAAAATTCTTTTCCTGCAATTATCCCTAAAAAAATGAAACAAAACAACTATCTACATAGCATTTGACGTTGTAACCTAGAAGTGAGGAACACGTAGCTTGTAAACAAATATTACTAAATTTTATGTAAGAGACTGAGATCCAAGGATTTAAGTTGTGGCGAGGTAATCTCTGGAGACATGGAGACATCTTTGTGATGTCTTATATGTTACAGAATGCCCTTTATGTTGGGTGTCCTGACATTTTTACTTCTGGTTGCTACTATTCATAACCAGCGAGCTACCACTGCTTTCTTTTCCTCTCTCTTCCTACCCATTCTGCAGGCAGCTTATCATCCAACATACTTGTTTGTTCTGACAAGCTTTATTCTCATCCTCCCAGGCACGCTGTCATTTCAGAATCCAACAAATCTGGATCCAAATGAATATGGGAGTGAAATCATCCCAGAAAATAGTAGAAAGGGCAGAGATGGCCAGGTAAAGGAAGAAAGGAACATATAAAGAGTAATGTGAGGGATTAGGCTGCATCCACTCAGGAACTCAAAAAGGCCAGTACTGATTTGCTTTCCCCATTGTGAGAGACTCTCTGGCTGCCCTACTGACCACACACATGGGCAGATGCTGCACTGGGCGTTGGTGGTAGGGTGAGGGAGATGATGCACTCACTGTTCAGTCTAGGTAGGGTCTGTGTTCCAACCTCACCTCTTGGGGTGGAAACGAAGAAATAGAAAATTATAATACAATGGTGATTTGTCTACTAACAAAGACTAGGTTTAAGCCTCAACCTGAAGTCTCAGGGGAGCTTTTGTGGGACTGGAAGGGGAAAGATATTAGATGGGGAAAGTGAGGCACGGCCCTTTGGATTACTAAGCTTTGAATTCTTGCCATTTGGTCCATAAACTGCTGTCATCAAATACTTTCTGATTGTTTAGCACATGCTACAAAGCACAAGGCGTACTTCAGAACACCGTATGGAGGCAGGCTTCTCCTGAGCAGAGCTCCTTAAACCTTTTCTACTTCTGATCCCTATTCACATGAGAAATTTTCATAGAACCCAGAGTGTAAATATCTAAAATAGGCAAACAAATCAAACATTTACTGCTAATAAGCCATAAGACAATACTTTGACAGACATACAATTTTAAAAATTTATGAAAGATGAAGGTGGGTTGCTTTGTTTACTTTACAAAACAATTAATCCTTGGCTAAATATTTGATTCTGCAGGATATAGAGCACTGTGAATGTTTTTAGAGTTGGTCTTTTTTTGATTTTATAATTGTGAATGTTAGAAGATTGCAAAGTGTTAGAAGTCTATTGTAGTCATTTTAGAAATTGTTGAAACATCTCTCCTAATCCCAAGGCAAAATTTACTCAGTGATCTTTTTTTAAAATTTAAAAAATGTTGAGTTGGGGGAGTCATGCCTTTAATCCCAGCACTCTGGAGGCAGAGGCAGGAGGATCTCTGGTTTTGAGTCCAACTTGGTCTACAGATCAAATTCCTGTACATCTGGGGCTACACAGAGAAACCTTGTCTTGAAAAAAACAACAAAAATGTTTTTTAGAACTTTATAAATGAGTATATTGTTTTTATATCATTTCACATCCTTTCCCCTCCAACTCCTCCCTTCCTCTCCACTCAGTCTCAGATTCCTGACCTCTTCCATCTTAATTATTATTGTTACACACACACACACACACACACACACCTTAGTTCATTTAGTGTTGCTTATATGAAAAGTTATTAGGACTAACTGCTTGAGATTTGATAATCTCTCATGAATCTTGTCTCTGGGAAAAACGGATCTGTCTCTTAGAAGCCTGTAGCTCTTCATCCAGATGAATTCCCCCTAACCCCGTTGGTATGTCAACTGCTGTCATTATGCAGGCCTTGTTTAGGCAACCATATCATTGAGATTTCACAGGTGCAGCATACCTGTCATATCTAGAAGACATTATCTCAAATGTCCTGGTCTTCTGACTTTTTACAATATTTCTTCCTCCCCTCCCATAGTGTTCTCTGAGCTTTAGGGGCAGAGGTTGTCTTGAAAATTTACCAAATGGGGCTGGGCACCCATGCTCACTTATGATCTGCATTTGACCAGTGTAGATCTCTGTAGTGGTCTCTGCCGCAAAAGAAGCTTCTTCTTTGATGATGAGTGAGAGCACACTTGTGTGTGAGTATAAAGAACATTGTTTAGAATACAGTTAGAAGCTCTATTGATTTAGGAAAATGTAATAATAGTTTCTCCAATAGGGTATATGACCTCTCCAGTCATGGGCAATTGGTTAGGTTCATATTATCAGACATGCGTTCCTGGTATTGAGAGGGCCTTAAGTCTAATTAGACAGCTAGTTGGTTATTCCCAAGACATAAGTGTCACTATTTCACTGTTGAGGTTGTCTTCTTCAGGCTTATTCTTGTTGTGGTTCAAAGGCTTGCATCTACACCTAGTTAGGACTATGGGCTATTTTCTCTCTTAGCAGCTTCCACAGAATCTTCCAGTGAGAACTACTTCTCATGGAGACTTTCAGGTCAGATCCAGCTTGATCCTTCCAAGTCCTGTGCTTGAAGTGTGCCTTATCCTCAGTAATAGGGCTTTACCTTCAAGTTCTGGGAGGCAACCAAGGGCAATGGGCACAGCCTATTTTGTTCTGTGGAGACTCTTGGACCCTTTTGACCAACAACTTCATGTAAATTTCCTTTGCCCAGCACACTGGGGTACTTATTAGATGACCAATGGCTCTTGGGGAGAGCATTATCACCCCATGTGGTATAATATCATACTATACATATACATTAATACATATGTTGTATGTATTTTAAATAATCATATAAAATAATGTTTCATTATGGCTTTTCAAACATCCTTAGTGTTCTTTATCTTGCCTTCCTCCATCTCCCTCTGTATTTATTACCTTCCTCCCATCTTCCAGTTAAATTCCTCTTCCATTTTTCCCTTTCCCCATTTAAAACACCTTTGTTTTACTATCTCCCTCTTTATGTCTCCTTCTTTAGTTCCTCCATGGTATCAATTCATCAACACTAATAGCGGTTTTTGAAACCCAAACATTGCAGAACAATAAAACCAAGGAGATACCAACTGTATGCTTTCATGTTGAAGAGTGATATTAAGAAAATATTAA